CATCATAGATCAAACCAAGTATATTCAAACATACCAGTGTAATAATAGAAAACACTGCCAATTTATGAAATCATATTTTGTAAGTAAAAGAGTGTAAAATTGTTAAATTATTATTTTATTAATAATATAAACGTCAGGGTGAAAACAAAATCATAAAACTTAATTATTCGTCCAAAGAAAGAGGATAGCTATTTATTATTATACATACTTGACAGTTAAAAACATCACAAGTCAATTATTAGTGATAATATCAGTACCGAGAACTTATCTATGGTTGCGCAAACGTGGTTATAAGATTGACATAGTCATCCATCGCAAATCGAATGGCTGTGAGACGTATGAACGCACTGCTTTTCTTATTTATGGGTCCAGTTTGAGGAAACTCGTAGGACGTTTCGATTACAATTAAATAATTGTGAGCAGTCATTTGGATTTTAGCAATCAATGCCAAGTCAACGGCCGTCAACGTGTTAGGGATAGGGTTTTCAATGCGTTTACTGATTGCTTCTATCGAAACCTCCAATAATTCCACTGATAAGTCCTTATTGTAGGATTTTGAAATCTTAGCGATCCACTTTCGAATGGGTTTCATAATCGGTGGATCGTCATCTGCTCTGGATCCGAATCGGTTGCTATCTGGCGTCATCAGGTGGTCAATGTAAATCCGCAAGTAACGGTATAGATGACCGTAAAATGTAGTAGCTATCGTTAAGCTTTTGAGAGTGGAATACTGTTTAAGAGTGTCGTGTTCGCCAATATCGTACGTCAACTGGTCGTGAATGGTTTTCACCGGTATTTTGACGCCACCCCATAACCATTTTACATTGGCGTTGTGGTCCAAAAACTTGAACGGGTTTGTAATAGCGTTCTTGTACCGAGCTGCGGGTTTATGGTGTTCGGCGAATACCGCGGACACGTTTAAATTAATTATTATCTCATGGAGACTGGTGGAGTAGATTGTAAGATTGCTTTCGGCCTGACGTTTGTACGTAGTCGCGTCCGCGTTCTTGAAATTCTCAATGGGATTCCAATTTAGTGGACAGTTGTCTTTGTAGTAGCCCATCAAAACGCTCTGAACGGAAGCGAATATCGCCTGCATCCTGGTGAAATTCTCGTGACCGTATTGTTTGTAACCCCTATTAAGTGATTTCGAATATTTCATTCGCATGGGTAGCCAACTCAGCAGTTCTGCAACTCGGCTCAGAACTTCTTGGTCCTTGAGTGGCAACCACGGAGGTTTTTCCAACTCTCGAAGCATAAACGCACAAAAAACCGACAACGAACCGAGCTGCCACACGTGCGTTTTTACCAACAACCACCAGTGTTGCCAGTGAACGTTTGTCCACGGGTATGTAAGAATCTCCGTCATTCCCTGTCGCTTGGTGAAACGTTCGTGCAAGAGTACTTCGAATGATACTATCCACGCCCGTATTGCAGAAGTGGAAGAACAGTACACGCAACGCCGTAAGAATTTCGCACACAAATCTAATGTCGTTTGGTCCGGTTCAAGCTTGTCACATTCGTCCCGTCCTAAATTTAAAATGTCGACGAACGTCAGTTCGTTCAATTGAAAACCACTGAAATGTCTGTGTAAAAATAATGGACTCCTGATGAGATTGCACGCCAAATAACCGTTTATAGTTCCCACGAACGGCCACCACGACATCACACAAATTACAGCAAACCAATTCATCACGAATGCCACGGCAAATTTTGAACACTACGTCGAAAAGTCGGTGCGCATAATAGAGACATAAAATCTGTGAGTTTATATTTTTGTTTCCACACAAGTGTTCATTTTGAAACAACATGTTGTTTACTCACGCGGTAGGGTTTAAACATTATTACTATACATACACACCAAATCCTTATGATATTCAGTTTGTATTCAAATAACGCAGTTTTGTTAAAACTGTGTTTTTTTCAAGATTATATTAACTATTTGTATGCGTCTGGTTTTGGCGAGCCGTTACGACCATCTTACCGTTCACAGTTTAAGCGATTTTCAATTGACTAAGATCAAGTACAAGATCAGCATTTTGTAGATCTTAGACTGATAATAAATTATAATTTTTCTATTCGAAAGAAAGAAATCATCAATATTGTTAATTCGAGACCAGATAAATGGTTAACTTAAAAAAACTTATAGAGGGCCATAGATTTAGCTTTTACTTTGTTGTATATAGAGTGGGGGGAAAATAAAAAGACTAAAACATTATTAACAGATTTTTTCAAGCAAAAACAGTAGGTTTGTCTAAACTACACTTTGAAATATTATAACATTTTTGAAATGAGGGTTCTCCAAATGAATTTATTAGTCCGTTGCCTACGCTATTCGATTCGGGCACACCCTGTATACCTCCGGCGATCAATATAGTTGTTTGGGTCAAGGCTTTTTGTCCACCGACGATGGAAATAGTCATGAAAAAGTAAGCACAGTCTGAATATCGATTTTACAACCGTGCCAAAATTGTACTTGAACTTAATCGTTTATACGGTAAAAAAAAAAATCAACATTTTTTATAACGTGTAGGTTTGTGTATCAATTACCTAAAAGCGTATTAGCATTGATTGTATGCTGTACAATAAATACTTAATGGTTTCAGCTAACTATCTAGCGGTCTACATTACTAATTGTAACATGCTTTTTTTTTTTCCTCTTCGAAGCAAACCTCAGAAGATGTTAAATGTTCAATAATGTGTTTTTCGTGACTGAGCGATTGAAGTTCTTGTTAAGTCAAGTGAAGTTAGGCTCGCATGCGGTAAAAAAAAAAAAAGGAAAACCGAACATTGCCAAGCCAATCTCACGAAAACGGCCACACATTAATGTTTTTTATTATTGATCTTAATAAATACACATTATATAGGTTTTTTTTGTTAGTATGTTTCTACTACGTTTCTTATTGTATACAAAATATTACTAAAATGTTGCCATTGAGTCCAAAATATTTTAATAGCATTTAGCAAATCATGTTTTTTCGTACGAATTAGTTGTCTGAAAAAATACCATTTTTATGATTTTTTTATATTTTTTAGTTTATCTGTAAGCTTGTAGATAGCGCGACCCATTCCGATGAAATGCACTCGAGGGTTAAATACTATTTAAATAATATTAAAACCTATTTTGTCAAAATCGTTATTAAACCAGTGTAATTTAAACTATTTTCACAACTAATATTTTAAAAACTCAATTCTGAGCATTATTACTAACTAAATTTTGAATTCATAAATATATAAGTGGTCAATAAGAGCCACACAACACGAATATCATTAAAAATAAAAATATTTAATTTTAAAACCTTATTTCGTCAAGAGAATTGTGTTATTAACGTATTTTGATTCCCTGCTAAAATGTACTGCGAGGAAAAAACTATTAAAGTTCTATATTATTTTAACATTTTTTATCTTTTAAAAGTATTATACTTAGAATACCGGTAATATTTTATAATAGTTTCAATACTACCGACATATGTTAACAACCTATTAAAAAAGTCTAATATAGCAAAATGTAGCATTGACATTCCAATAAACATTTAATGGCTGTATCGATAACAACAATTTGAAAACGTTTAAAAGTATTATTTTTTTTCAAAGTTTACTTTTTTTACCGTCTAAAATTAGAACCACGAAACTATGCTAACGCATTAGAGTAGGTAATTATTTTTTAAATTTTCTATAGGTGTGTGTTTTTTTTAAGTATAGGCGATAACGGTACTGCATTTTTGTTTGTCATGTCTCAAGTCGTCGACACTCTAGCTTTGTTTTATTTTGAACATGACTTCCTAAAACAAAAATCGCGTCGCCAACTAAAACAGTGAACGTGTCCGCTTTTGAACTATGCTAACATTACTGCGGTCAAAAAATCACAAGTTTATTTCGGAAGTAGTCATTTTTCCAAAATGTTGTATTCATAATATTATGCTGTTGGTTAAAAACAACCTTTAGGCGGTTTTGAAATGGGCGCAGTGTGATCTACTATTTTTTTACTAGGTTTGTTACTGTGTGTATGACATTAAAATATAATAATATATTATTTACCCAAGTTCGAGTTGGGTTTAAATGCGCCGACCGTGATAACCAGATACCTAGTTGGTCGTTGACCTGTTTAATTGACAAAGTGCAGGATATGCAGACAGGAAACAACGTTAAATTACCATTGGAGTACCGTACACGGGTTTTTTTTTTTTTACAATGAATTACACCAAACAAAGAAATTATACATCAGTGATCGGGTTACTAATTGATGTGTGTAAGACCACGTTTTATTCCACCTGTCCGGCGTGTATAACATGGTTTTATCTATTTTCCAAATGACAATTTCAATTGTAATGTTTTCACTATTAGCATGTTTAACAGTCCACACGAGTTGTTCTTTCCATTTACTAATCGACTCCAAAATAAGTTACCTTTATCAATATTACTCTGTTAATAATCATAATAGCGCACTCAGTAAACCATTGTTCAATCAGCGTATTTCTTATTAGTTTAATTTTAATTTGATCAACATAAACACGACCCCTTTGGTATTAATTTAACTGTTCATTACAAAGTACTCTAGTTCACAACTACAAGAAGAGTCAGAGACAAATAAACCTGTAAGATTGTTACCCGAGTACAAGATATGCTCTATTAGCGATGCTGGGCACAATGCTAGGTTACAAAGAGCTCCACGAATCTTGGGTCTCTAATTTAGCTGGGTTTGAAGTGAAGATGTACACCACAATTTGTTAGTTTTTTTTAATTTTTGAATGAACCTCAGAGTAGAGTAATAGGTCATGGCAATTCGACGATTGGGGGCCCGACGAGGTAAAATTATCGTCAACGCATTGTTGTATAAGTTGAGAAGTTGTTTGTTTCTGACCTACAAACTGAACACTCGTCTATCCGTTTGTTTTTATGTTTACTACCGAATCGACGTGGTTACGGCCGGGAGTGTTTGACGGTAGGTTGCTGTTTACCGAGCGGACAAATAAAATTCACACCGAGAAGAGACTATAGGCATGAGACGAAATTTCCTAGTCGTGTTGTTCACACTGATCCGGGCGATATGGGCCGGACCGGACCTGGCGGACTCCAAGAGGGAGCTGGTCTCCAGCGGCGTGCCGTTCGACCCCGTCGACTATCCGTTCGTGGTGGGACTGAGGATCAAGACCAGCCTGTTGTCTACTAGCATTTGCACCGGTACCCTGGTCACGTCCACGTTCGTGCTGACAGCAGCCCATTGCACGCACCGTAGAGCGCCGTCCAGCATCAAAGTAAACGGCAGACGGGGCCGGTGAGGTGATTTTTTAAATCTGTTTCAAACAACTGTCCGCAGACAAACGCAGGTGCACCAGGGAAGCCCCAGCTCGTCGCTGAACTCCTTCCGGGCGGTCCGCACCATTTACCATCACACCCGGTACAACCCCAGAACCATGGAAGCCGACATCAGCGTGTTGCAAGTAAAAGCCAGTGTAGTTTTTACCCGATTGTCTCTCACGGCCGCCGCCTGCTTCCGGTTGCCGTTTTATAGATAGTCGGCCCGTTCAAAGACGTGCACCGGTTCGTCACGCTGTCCGGACATCCGGGCGACTTCGACAACGACACGGAGCTGCGGTGTGACGTGCTAGGGTTCGGGGCCACCGAGAACGGCGAAGCCGGCAGTTTAGGGTACAGGGGCAAAGCTTGGGTTACGTACGGCCCGAATGCGTGCATGGCTTCGGAAGGGTAATAACGTAGTGGCTAACAATCACTGCGGCGTCGTGTGTGTTCTTCTGCGGTCACGGGTTGCCCCATCGTGTTCGCTTTGTTCGCAGACACAACATACCGTTGACGTGGCCCGAGTATCTGTGCTCGAAGCCGGACGTCCAAATGATATGCCCGGGAGACAGCGGGGGCCCGCTGCTCTGCCGCGGGTTCCAGTTCGGCATCGCCAGCCACGGGTACGACTACACCAACCTGGACGGGCCGGTCGAGTGCGGCAACCCCAACGTCCAGACCCGACACCTGTTCGTCTATCCCTACAGGGAATGGATCCAGACCATCATTGCCAGCGGGTGGCCGTGCCACAGCGCCTTTGTGCTGCCCAAAGCGATAGCGCTGTACGTCGCCGGCCTCGTGTTGCGATTGTTACAGACGTGACAAAACAAAACGCGGGATGTGATTCGATGCTCTTTTAACCACAATACAACACAACCGATCGACGATTTCCTTGTGTTGTCTTTGGTCCGGCGGTGTGAAATTCGACAACCCTTTACCGGGGGACAAGTCGTAGAGAGAGAGCTTAGGTTAGGTTCGGTACACTAGCAACTTGTGAAAACTAACCTAACCTAACCTAACCTAACCTAACCTAACCTAACCTAACCTAACCTAACCTAACCTAACCTAACCTGACCTAACCTAACCTGACCTAACCTAACCTAACCTAACTGGAGGAAGGCGGTGTAAAAAAAAGGACACACAATGATGATGTTTATTTTCAAGTACTGGATTTCAATGAAATTATACCCTTCGTTCGAGCTTTGGCTACACACACAATTCTCTCTTTGCACATCAACAGAGAATGTGAAACAGCTAAAATTTAACTATTCTTCCCCACAGCCGTCGTCGTCCTCGACTCGGCACCGGTATCTCTGGAAAAAAAAAACCTATATTGTTTAGTGTTCAACGCATACACATAGTAGGTAGGTAGTATAAAAGTGACTACAGCGCAGGTTTTACGAGCCCACTTTGGCCGTAAAACGAACCGAGCAAACAACACAAAAAGTTTACCGCCTCGAATAAAAAACTCCACACACACACACACTATACATATATAATATAGGCGACGGTTAAAAAATAAAATTCACCCAACGGCAGACTTTTAAATGCCGCCTTAAAGTGCGCACAATGGGAATTGCTGAGCAGTTTTTTTTTTTTTTTGTATTATATTATTATACTGTACAGGCGAATTGGCAAACTTATTGGCAAACGAGCTGGGGATGGAAAAAATAAAACACTTTTACTATATACTGGAACACGCACGGCCGACAGACAGATTGAAGTCCAAGAAAACATATTTATTTGTTATTTTTTGAATAAACCGAGTACAAGTTTCAACGCGGAGCTTAAGGTATTATTGTTCTTACAAAAATAGGTTTATTATATTTACGTCTGGACTTCGAGTGGCAAGTTTATGGATCACAAATCGCACCACCATTGTCCGTGTTTATGTATAATTAACTAGATGCAATGCATTCCGTTGAATAATATTTGTTTGTTGTCTTCAGAAAAAATAACAGCGCTAAGCGTTACACCTGTGACAATTTATACAGAAACGATGGTTTTTTTTAATAATAAAGTATGTTTGCGTGGCGTCATCTAGCGACGTACTTGGTCGGTTATCTTGGGAAAACGAAAGTGATATCAAAAAAAAAAAGGTTTACTTATCGATTTTTTCAAAAAAAAAACAAAAAACAAAAAGCTCTACTTATACTTTGTATCATATTGATAATGTTTTCTAGCCGGCATTTTTGGTAGTACTCAAACCACAAGACAAGCGGTGGACATAATATATTGTCTGCCTGAATTGACGACACGGTCAAAAATGATTGCAACATCTTCTTAAGTGTTGCCTATAGAAAACTCCTTAAAAAACGGACAGGGTTAATAATATACTTGTCAGGAGTAGGGGGTGTACGCCATATATACGCCGCTGTATTGCAAGTTGCATACACTGAACTCCTGGTAACTCTGCAAGTGCACTCGGCATTGGTTTGCGGAATTAATTTCGTCGAATTCGGCCAATTCGACTGGTCACCGTTGCCGGTAGATGGCGCGCAACGGACGTGCCACCGCAAACCGGGTCGGACCCGCGTGCCGCCGTCGGGTTTGCCGCGCCGTCGCGCCGCCTACGCGCCGTCGTCCGTGCCGGTGCCGCGGCCGCTTCCGGCCGGCGACGGGCGGTCCGGCCGCGGCCGCGGCCGTCCGCTTCGGCGGGACGCCCGCGACGGTGCCGCCGGCGGCGTCGCTGGGCGGCCCGGCCGGCGGCCGCCGTCTATTTGTACGGGTCGGCCGCCGGCTGGCCGGCCACATCCTTGATCTAGGGGAGCGGCGCGTTCTGTGATCGTATAGTGAGCCCGCGCTGCTGACACCCGTATGATGAATCACCCGTGCCCGGCGCCCAGGCGTCGAGCACAATTTTTGGACGTCCCTTTACTTCACAAGGGACCACTAAAGCCTAGACACTGTGTACAGGGTGATTCATTTAACAATGGGCCATTGTAGTTTTTCTTTAAAGAGAACAACTAGTTTATATTGTTTTACAAGCTATGTTCGAATTTTTATCTTTATTTTTTTTTTTTTCCACAGCTCTTATCAACAGTTTTAAAACGTAACCGATAAAGTACATAATATTAAAATGTAATTATCCAAAACTGGTTATCGGCCAATACAGATTTTCAGCAAATTAATGTCGATTATAAAAGTTAAATATTTATGCTACCGTTTAAGTTGATAGAGCTGTGGAAAATATTAAATTAGGTAAATTTTTAGTCATTACAACATACCTAACGGGGTTTTAACCGGTCAATATAAAAACGAATTTAAATCAAATATTATTCTGTACTAATAATAATTGGGTTAATATATTTGTTTAAATTTTTTTGAATAAGTATTAAAAATTAAAAGTACAAATTATTTTCCTGTGTAAATAGCACACAAATTTGAATTTATACTACGAAATAATCGTTTTTATTTCAGTTTGATTTTCATTTAATTATTTGAAAATAAAATGATAATTAATAAAGCAATAATTATAATATATTGTATTTTAAAAACACCCTTCAATATTTTTTTCTGTATTTTTGATTTACTTGATGTACAAAAAAAATAAAAATTATTTTTCCAAATTTAGCAAAAAAAATAGTAGGTATGATATTTTAAATGTTTAAAGATAAATTGTATTTTTTAGATTCGACTTTATTGTTAAAAAAGTTTTATTTTACTCGTGAAGTCATACCTAGATTTAATGGTCTTACATTTAATGTACAATATAGTATACATTTTTTTTTCAACTATGAAATTAAATTTATTAAATCTTTACTTAACAATAATACAAATTGACTCTGTGAGCTATTATACAACGTGGTGCAATGGATTTTTTTTTAACATCTTGGACGAACGGTCCGAGTTCTAACCTCAGACACCGAATAAAATTATTGTTATTTTTTTTTTCACATTTTATTCCCCAAAACTGAACCGAGTTATACTACTGTAATACTATACTCGGTTAGCCGTTGATTATATTATTTTTCAACTATAAAATAACATTTTGCAAACGAGTAATAGCACATTAAAACTATTATTATTGCCATAAATACAACACCTTCGACTCGGCCTCGTATAGAGTATATATTCCCAAAACCATAGACCTGAATTTTCACCTATGGGCGCCCTTGTAAGTACATAATCTACAGTTTCAATGAAATCGGATAACCCAAGCTTGGTGTTGTTTTTGTTCACAATCCGAGTGCACACTTTGAATGTACACATTTTGTTGTTGTTTTTCGATTTTGCAAACAAATATCTACTCTAGTTATTGTTGTATATTTTTTTCTGCACAAGAAACTTTTTCTAGGTTATCCAAGTAAAATAACTAGTAAACGTTAAAAACAAAACACCATATTTACATTTGTAGCACATTTTATTTTTTTATTGAAATACACTCAACTCGGTAATAAAATATAATATGCACCTGGAACTTAATAAATATTCGTGAAATAACTTACAAATGTATACTTTAATAAGCCTTGTTCTACGTTGAACAATCACATTAAAAAAAAAAAAATCTGAGTACACATAACTCGATATAATATAGTCTTAATGGGTAAAAAATCCAAATTCTCAAAACTGTGTTTGAATTTGTAGGTTATACCTATTATTTATCTGTAATTGATTCGGTCTAAAGTTCAAAATGAGTACATGTTTAATAAACATAATGAAATTGAACGAATTGGATTGATTAAAATCGCAAACATTCGAATTTCGCTCAACTGTGCAATTTTATAAAAGAAAACATAATTTTTGATTTTTTATCATTCAACAAGCAACAGCTGAAAATCTAACCAACGCTATTTATAATCATAATTATATCGTATCAGTGTGTTTAGTGACATTTATGTGTCGGTTAATTATTCTCGATTTAAGCGCAGTCAATATACTCCTACGGGGAAAAAACGTCACACATAAATCAAACGTTTTGTAAATTAGAAAGCTTTAAATGTCATGTTTTTTTCGTTTTATCGTCCCACTCGATGCGGAAATTACTGATTTTTACACTGTACAAAAAAAAAAAAAAAAAATAGCTGTAAAATATGTAATGCTAAAAAACGTTAACAAATGTGTAGTATCTACTCTGAAACAGATACGATTCAATAACCATTTCTGAACACAACAATATGCTCTGGGATCGGAAGTCATTTTGGACGGACCTCGCGTAGCTTGTCGATGTACATCCCTTCGATCTCGTACATAAATACCTGTCGTTCGAGTTCCGGTAGTTTCCTTATCTTTTTCGCCAACATTCTGCCGAAAAGATCGTACTCGTCTTCGTCTTGTCTGTCACCGGCTCTTTTGGCGATTACATCCTTCAGCATGTCAAACGCTTCCTTCGTCCGATTTCCGGCCCCTTCAAGCGCGCGAGGGTTACCCCGACGTCGAACCGTTGGATTCGGCAGCGAAGGCGTTGAGGAGTTTGGTCGTTCAGCAACTATTGTACTCTCTGTTGGCGTGTCCCCAGTTACCACACTTTGGCTTTCTTCGCAAGTTACAAAAAACTAAACAAAAAAAAAAGATACAGTCTACTTTTAAAGCCAGCCCCCGACGGCTACAATTGTCGCAATAGAAATAAATCGGTATATATAACGCCGTTATCATTAATCTCTTATCTCTAATCTCTTATCTTAATCTCTTATCATTAATCTCTTATCATTAATCTCTTATCTTAATCTCTTATCTCTTATCAGATAACAGCGTGACGGCGTTTATGCAAAGACGCGGAAATGTCAACAATTACAAACGAGTATCTATTTGGATTTTAGATATTTTCATTCATTGCAAGTATGTATGTACTTACCGTATCGTCTCGAGCGCTCGCGGTCGTCTGGCATTTGTAAATCGGCGCCAGAAAAGACTCCATGCGTTCGTAAGCGAACCATATCGGTGTGTAAACATCATTGGCATCAGCGCCGGAGTGGATCGAAGCTTTCTTTTTGCGCAAATGGCTCCTGAACGATGCCATGAGCGAGTCTTTCTTTTTCTTCAACTCCGCCGTCGAACATCCCAGTTGTCCGGCCAATCTGGCCCACGCGTGGTTGATTTTCTTTTTGTCCTTGTGCAACGAATGCACGGGGTCCCATATGACCGGTTCGTTTTGGTACAACTCCAAAAACTTTAAAGTAAACTCGTTGGTCCACTCGCACGTCATGTCGACAAAGTTACCCGCGCGGAGACGGCGACGAATGTTCGAGAATTCGCTCGGCCGGCCTCGTGTCTTGATTGACTCGGGCGCAAAAAAACCACCTCCAGACCGAGCGAAGGCGAGGCGACACGAGGCGGCGCGAGCACATCTAGTTCACTCTCGCGGTGTCTCAGTTCAGTTGCTTTTCCCCCGACAGCTGATAATATGCGCACTTACATGCAGAAATGTGTTCATTTAAAAACCGTCGTTGACAAAGCCCAAAAAACGCCAAGAACTGGTTTGGAGTAATCCCTTAAAGTATAGGGAATACATATTTTGAGTGTCCTAGAGAGGTATGAGTGATATATTTACACAATCTGACTCAAGTGCACAGCTAAACTACAAATTGTCCATTTTATTCGTCAATCATAATTTTCCTTAACCCGATGTTATATTATATGTTTGAAATTTGATCCAAAAAAAAAACATCAACAATATAATTTATGAAAAGTAAAACTACAATTAACGTAAAAATAAACTAGTCGGTAAAATAACTGTCGGTTTGCGATTCTGATTTTTTTATCCAAATTAACACATTTGGTAATATTATTTTAAAAACAACTCGATTTTGGCACGAAATCGATTACCGTTGCAGTAAATTGGTTATTATGTTTATAATTTAAATAAAAACTAACAGAATTGTCAAGTGTCTAGCAAATCTATTATACTAAACAAAATAATAATATGTCCTAGCCAAAAAATAACAGTGCATTCAATTTCTCGTTGAATTCTATCGTTTTGAAATTATTAGGAAATTTATAATTATTTTTAAACGATTTTTTAAAAAATATTTAGTTTTTTTAATAAAATAAAATATTTCTAATACAATTCTAAAAGAAAATATTTTTTAAAAAATGAATGTGGTGAGAAGCAAAAGGGAAAAGGGGATTTTTATACAATTTTACATATTATGAAATAAAAAATTGTATTTTAAATATTGTCCCTGTAGGCTGTGTTGATTATTTTCCTTGGACATCTTGTTCGAAAATCGATTAAAAGTTACGAATTAGTTGATAAATGTTTTATTAACAAGTATTAATATGTTTATCAAATAACGTTTTTTCTATGCTTTTGGTGTTTTCGTTACTTAACTTAGTAGAAAATACACATGTAATCTCTGAGCCAAATAATATATTTCAAGTGTTACCGTTATAGTTTAAAGTATTAAGGTAAAAATATTTTTGAAATTTCAGCATAAATTCACTTTGTCGTTTTTTTTTACAGATTATTAATATTTTTTTTGCAAAGAGTGCCAGGACTAGGTAAATCGTTTAGGAATTTTTTTTTCTTTGTTCACACGGATTACGTTATACCTATAAATAGATTTGAGACCCGAAATGTGTCACAAACAGTCAGGTAAACAATGCTAGGTGGTTGTGAAATCGGATTGACATTCATGCTAAATACGGACCGATGACCAACCGTTACCGAACGCGGTAAGCGGTTACCATTTTTGGCGGCAAATTCAAACCGAAACGCATAATTATTATCGCAACAATTATTGGCGTTTGGCGAGACAAACGATTATGTATTATTATTTTACCTTTTTGATAATATTTAATAGGTATGTTTTTTACGATTTTCGCACCGCCCACGCGAACCTCAACCTTCGGGTTCGGACGTGGTTTTTTTTACATTTTTATTATGTTTATGGCGTGGCAGATGACGTGCGGAAGTGAATACCAGTAGATGTACCAATGTAGGTATGTGTTATTTTAAGGGGAACAATTTTTTTTTTTGCACACAAACCGTATGTAATATGCGGTTGGTCGAGAAACGAAAACAACAGCAAAATACAATATATATATATATATATAAATAATAATATTATGCGTGGACGTAAGCCAGAGACGGTACTCTTGAAATAGATAGATGCTGATCCGTTTGACGGTGTTTATTCGCGTTCTAACCTTCAACGGCCGTGTAGCTGTACTTGCGACCAGGTAAAAGTGTCTTGTTCGTCGTTCGTGTCGATAACTGTCTCGAAAATCCCCAAGGAATAATAATTATTACTGCCCTGAAAAGGAAATGGCCAAAACCACAGAACAAGCGGGATACGAACTCGTCCAGGTAAACGATTTTTGACATTTTTTATTTCTGATAAAAAAACAACGTACACGGGTAAAATGAATTGTACTCACATTAGCTTCGGGTAAACTAACCTAACCCAATTTGGATACACTACGTGCCTAACAACTACAGCCGCCTCGACCTTTGAGGGCTCAGGAACATTTGTACACAGAAACCCACCCCCTATACGAGGGGCTACCTCCTCTATTTAATTACTTCTGTTTATCGAGTTCGGTGACATTGTAAGCAAAAAACTGGGTGAATTTATAATAGAAACCTTTTAATTTAGAATATGGTAATATTATATTAAACGTTTCATTAAAACACAAATTTGGTTAGATTTTTTGTGTATGAAAATGACTACAATACTAATTACATTTACCCAATTGGTTTACCTTCCATTCATAATTTACACATATTTGATGTTGAAAATAACCTTATTGAAAACATAGCAATGTTACACGACCCCAGGCTAATATTTTATCAAACAATAGTAAAAAAAAATGTTTAGTTTTATAATATGACTATGTATTGAATTTAGTAGGTACTTAAACGCTTTTACATTTCCAAAAAAAAAAGGGTTTTTTGATAAAATCCGAATGTTTGTCCCATCGATGATAACATTTTTTTAATGAGAATTTTCTTTAGAATAGAGATGTCATTCTTATTTCAATCGTTCTACAGCTTTTTTGTGGAAGTTTTTGTTAGGTAGTTGTTTCATTGTTTATTAAGTGAAATCTAAAGCAAATCACCATTTTTCCAATACTTTGAGCTGTGAACGCTCTTCCAAATCCTGAATTAACCGTTTTCAACCACTTTTTCCCAATGCTTTTTAGTGTCGTTCTCGTTAGGTAAATTGTTCTGAAATTGATTATCACTGTAATTGTTATCAATGTGATTTTTTTTTTTTGTCGATTCCAGGCATTACTTAAGTTCAACGACGGAGCTTACGGCGGCCGAGAGCGAATGGTACACAAACCGGCGTGGAAGATGTTGTTTTTGATGCTGAAATACTTGAACTGCTATCCGGAATTGTGTAAGCGTGAAATAAATTACAAAATTAATTCCTAGCTAAAAAAATGATGGTATAAAAGTCAAAATAATAACAATATCGTGAAACAGAGTACAGGCCTAACTAGGTACCTCCTGAACGACAAAAAAAAAACAATCAATCAATCAACGGACCCTGTCTCTCTTGGATAATTACAAGTTAGACGTCGTGTAATGTTTAAGATTGTAATTTGTAACGAGGCTTTGTATGTAATCGATAAATCCGACCACTTCGGACGCGTTTGCCCTAATATGTAGCAAAACGGTGCAATGCAAATAACTTGTAATTATTATATGTCAGAGTCTGACATGCACAAAGAGTTACCTTCGAAATGGAATTTTTTTTTCTCCAATCGCATCGCTACCGTTGTATACTTTTGCGGTAAACAAAAGGATCGTCTCGGTTGTTGTTGTTGTTCTTATTACCTATAAGAAGCGTGGGTCTAAGACCACAACAACATTGTGTCGAAATTCGTAGCGCGAAATCGAGTGAATGCAGCGAATGTGGGATTTGCAAACTCGATTAAGATTAATGTAAAAAACACACACGCCCACGTGGAGAAACCACCACAAGTGTCTTCTTATGTGACAGAGTGGGCCGTACCATGTGTGTGTGTGTGTGTAGAGTAGCTCTGGTATTATTACTTAAATATAACAAGTGCAATACAATAATACCTCGGTCGGTGAGAAAACGCGTATATAAAATTATTATCACCGCTGTAGGCAACGAAGGTGTAGATTTAAAAAAAAATATATTATACATGTAACCTCCTCGTTGATGTATTCATAAACGAGTGCACAGATAAACATCGTAACATTTCGAAAAGGCTCTCGGCGTTGGAACACATAAATTATGTAAATCCACCTTAGAAAAGACAAAGAAGAAACTATTGCACTAAACGCTCTTTTATAACACACGCTATAGCTGTTTAAATAGAACTATAGCTCACTTGAACGTCTACTTAGTATTGCACACGAGAGAATGGGTCTTTTTGGATTATGACTTGGGTTTTCTCACTTTTGTCTAACTAGTCGCATTGAGTTGTTTCAACAGTTTGTAGTTGTTTCAATTTAATGTAATGTGCTTTTATTTCGTACAACCCTTAGAGTCAGTGTACTTCAAGCGTGGTGCTTGTAAATTTCGATACAAACAAGGTGTTTCAAGGAGGCTGGCTTTTGTAGACTTGACCAGTTAAGAAAACATCCCCAAAAAATTCAGAGATAGGTACCAACAAATTGCGGTGGGCTCTTTGAAATGTTTGATTGATTGAAATATGTAAACGCTACATTAAACTTACTCAAAGACGGAGACTCCTAGAGTTTCAGGCGACCTATTCATTATACTATAGTCTATTGCTATCAATTATCATTTAGCTATACTACTCAACGCTTGGAAGCCAAATGAAATGTAGACTCCAACCTAGTACCAAGTGCTGTGATAGACCTTGGTACCTCATTGCACGTGACGATTCGTTAGCTCGTTAGACTGCTCAATAAGTTTCCGGAGTACTTGCATGAAGTGACTTTCAATGTATGTTTTTTTTTTTACAGCTTCTCTGCCATACCAGCTGACACCGATTGTACTGCACCTTCCGCCGGGATACCATCAAGTGGTCCTGAAGGATCCTTCGACGTACCGCAAACGCACGCTGGAGTTGTTGCCAATCAAATACGGTTATCGAGAATTTTGGGACAAGCACATCAACCGCTGCCGGGCATTGCCTTACCAGTACTTGTTGTGGGAAGGAGGATTCGTCCTTGTGGTGTTCTGTTTCTACGCCGTGGGTGAGTGTTATTGTAGCGATTGGTCTTTGCACACGGTGCTTAACTGCGCAGTCCAAGCTCTATAAAATACAAAATTAATTACATATTTTTCAGGCGATGACGTTATCCGAGTGGTCAACATAACTATACACTTTTCAAAGAAGGACGTGCACCCCGAACCGCTTTGCTATCAAGACAAACTCATGCTGGAAGAGGTTAGTGCGGTATTCCGAGGCGTGGGGTGTTTATTTTTTTAACCCTAACTTTGTCTACAGCGTTATCCAGTGGACGCGTTCAATTCGGGCTATGCAAAACCTGTGGCGATCAACACGAACAGGTGAGCTACATACTTGGGAATGCACATTTTTCGTCTAGAAGTATTATACGGATATTGCTTTGGGTTTGCCATTGATTTCCTCCAACCCTGCACACAAAAGGGTATCAGTCGATGCTCGTTCGTTAATACGTTTTTATCTAAACGCCTTTTAATATATACTAAGAGGGTAGCTTGTATTTCTTAATGCCACATCCACACCCACACACTAAAGCTCCAAAGTTCCACTAAAATCCTCGTGTACCTAACTGAACTTAACCTTTCCAATGTAACTTTCACTGTGTAAGCCTATTGTCAGGTGTGTAATATTGTGGGGCCGGGGGGTTGTCCTAAGTATTGTTTACCCCCATCGAATGTGCGCCACCGGTCTTTGGGGGTGAGATTGCATGAATTTCAATTGACATTCATGCGTTGCAGGTGGACCATTTTGCGAGAACTCAAGGAAAGCAGCGACAAGAAGGGTAACGAGATGTTCTTATTGTCTTTGGTACCTCTGATGGACGAACTGCCGGATCGAGTGTTGACCGAGACCAGACGCAAAATGTTGCAACTGTTAGAAGAAGCCGTGAGCTGGAAGAGGCATTGCAGGACTTGAGGTGTGACAATCGGCTGATGATATTTGATTTATTTTTTTTACTTATACCTTTCTTACGTGATTATCTGTCGTATTGTTTATTTAATCTTTGTATAATATTTATTCTATTGTGTTATGTGTATTTGTGTCTACCTGTATATAATGTCATCGTCTGAATAATAATTGTAGTCGAGACTTCGGTCGAGATTAAAAAACTTGGCGATCCGTAAGCCTTTAAATTTTACTACTTTTTCTCTACTCGTTTATTGTAGGTAAATTTAAAGGGTAATGCTTTCCTTGCATACTTACTGTTTGTGATCATAGGATTAGTATAAATAATTATATAATATTATTTTATTAAAAAAATGTTCAAGCCTTAAATTATCCCATTTCTTATTGTTTCACCGCATGGTTGTATAGTGTAAAATAATATACAATTTTACTCAGGTTGAACATATTTTTATAAAAAGAAACATTTTAATTAGTCAGTGAAGTAAACAATATTAATTACACTTATGACTGTACAATGAGTTCTTGCCATGTATGTACAGGGTCAGAATCAATTTAACATAATACATTTTTGTTTTTTATAAATAAATGTTATTTTGCAGCTTTCGTTATTTTTTTTTAATTGTTTTTAGTTTTCAATGCAATATTTTAAAATTTCCAAAACGATTGGACAACATTTTCAGTTGCACGTTTTCAATTTAAAAAGTTAATAAAATACAAACGTTGTTTATTTTGTTGTATGTTGTCGGTAGGTAAAACAGAGTAATAATGTACAAATTGCATTTTATTTTAAAGTATTTTAAAAACAAAAACATTTGGTAATTGCGGTAAACTGGTCGCCTGGTGGATTTATACTTCTTTTCTTTTACTTTAGACCAGACATTTTACACCAGAGACCTTATTATGCTGAAATGCTTATTTGATTTCGATCAAGTGCAAACACTTATCGGATCACTACAATGGAAGTGAAACGTGAATTGAATAAATTTAATGCCAATAATCATACATACTAAAAAATATACAGCCGTCAGACTGGACTCTCTCAACCGGTTTCTATTAAATTGTTACAGTTTTTTAATTTAAAATTGCTCGTGTGACTGATGTATTTGACCGACCATCCGGACGTTAAGGTCAAAGCTGTTAACGATGGTCGTTATTCCTGCGGTGCTGTTATGTAAACGAATATTTTAATCATCATTTGAATACAATTTTATTTTTTTTTTGTTCAACTACAGCCACATAGGTCGTACCGACATTTTTTCTATATTATTAGTACATTGTGTAGTTGTAGTTATTTTTGTTGTACACACACACTATTAGTAGCCACGAGGCAGAGGTGTTCAATGAACTGTATTTTTCACACGAACGATTGATCAATAAATGTCAATTAAATCATCATTAACACTTAATACTTTGTCGTATCATCTGCACAGTTTCACATAGCAGACCTGACAACCTGCCTCCACCACTATGGCAGCTTATGTATGAATAAACTCTGATTTATATTGCTGATATACTAAAATTTTGAAAAAATGACATATGTAAATTAAAGTTTGATTTTAAAGTTTTCGTTTCATCAATTTTTAACTCCAATAAACTTAACAAATTATTTATATTTAAAAAACTAATTAGGTATTCTATATTTATGGAGCTCATTTTAAACGTGTACACCGTTGCCGGCAGGCAGTGCATAAAAAACACATTTTTGCAATAGATGTTTCCTGCAGACTAGACAATAATAATATTATAAAAAAACACGTTTTATGGTCGATAAAAAAAAAACTACTACAGACTAACATTGTGTGCTATGCTTTCGGTAGTAATGATAATTATTTCAGTACAGAGTTTGGACGGATATGCGTTTTATGGCCAATTACTGCATTGCATTGTTTTGCACCGTGGTGCTCTGTACACAACACCAGAACAAGCTGCATCAGAAGAAAGACAATATAAATAATTATAATAATCTTTTTTTTTTCTATACATATTGTTAAACAGTTATTTGCGACTATTTACAGTTACAAAAATTGGTTACTAATAAAAAAAAAAAACTTACCAAACCCGTTAAATTTGGCCCATTAACTTGTACGTGTAGTGTAGAGCCTGTCAAGTGTAGCTATCAAGTTACTTTTGCATAAAACGAAACAAAAGTTACTTAAAAATAATATGTTCATATTATGAAAAAAAATTGGCAAAACGAGGAAAAATAACGCTGTCGGTTTCTCAGTATGTAATTTTTGCAAAAAGATTTCCCATGCATTTGCTCCCATTTTGGGAAATTGTCTTTAAAAAATATCTGACATTTTGTGCCAAAAAACACATATTTAAGAATAGTTTTTTTTAGGTTATAGCTGATGGATTATTTGATCAATAGAATACAATTCCAATAATTCCAATAATACGATTATAAATTAACGAGTTAAATGATAAATTTATGTAAATGATGATTTAACTAAAAAAAAAAAAAAACACCTGATTACAACCGTTTTTTTCTCAAAAAAAAATATTTAGAAAAAGTAAAAACCACTGCAGACAGTTGTGCAATTGTTTGAGTACACAACTAGATATTTTGTTCTATAACTAATTTGTTTTAAATGGGTACAGGAGGGGTCGATAAAGAAACAAATTCTTCATTAAAAGTGTATACGAAGAGTTGGAACCAGTTCCTTTTATTTCCTGTCAAGTTCGGTCAAAATAACCATTTTTTTTTTTTTAGTTAAGCGTTTCACCCAAAACACTATATTACATATGAGTTGGCAAAAAAATCACCTCGGTCGAATCGATATAGTGTTTTATAAACTAGTAGCTGCTATGAAATATAAAAAAAAAAAACTATAGTATAATTTGTGTATTAAATTAAGGACATGGCGATAATAATTAATACTACTACTAACTATTATCATTATGTCCTTAATTGTACGACCTAACCTGATGGACCTACTTGGGAATATCATATTTCAAAAAAAAAAATACAATGCTCCTTTGTTTTGGGGGTAGGAAGGGGAGGGGAGGGGAGGGTATATGCCTGCAGGTAGTCATAGCGGGCTATCGATTGCAACAATGGGAGCTGACGACATTACTGTCAAAAGGACTCTCGACGTTGCCTTTTTTTCTTTTCTATTTCTTTTTTTTTTTTGGGGAGGGAGGGGGGTGTGAAGAGAGTATTTAGAAACTCTTGATATTCATTCGTTACAGTGTGTGTTCACGGTTTTATCGCAGGTAGTGTGCACACACCTTACTTGAAATTCCTGAGAAATATGGTAATGATGTGTATGTGGTGCAGTACACGTTTGATATTATAAGATAATATATCCCACTAGGCAAAAAAAAAAAAAAAAAAATAAGAAAATTGATAACACTTGTAATAATACCTATTTATTTTCTGTTACATCTCGGGTGGCCACATGATGATCATGATCTAATGTAAATGTATTGTGTAGTGTAACCGCTAGTTGAACTCGCGCTCGAGAAGTGAGATTACATATTATTTTACAACTATCAACTTATACGTTTGAATGTAATAGATAATAAAAATTACAATTCCTTCGACGGAGTGACCCGAGAAAAAAATAAGACAATGCGTTTTTTAATTCACAGCCCTGACCCTGTACAAGAAATGTCATACCTAACAACACAAAAAAACAAACAAATTTAACACCCCTAATGGAAGGGTAGGCAAGGGAAATAAGTATAATTTAATTTCGAGGCGATTACCTAGTACAGGGGCACACAAAATAAATAATTTCTATAGAAATTTCAACTGAATTTTTAATGGTAATGAGTGAACTGTGAACATTTTCATCAATAAACATAACCATATATCATCTAACCCCTTGGGAGAACAGCTTATACCATAATGTGTAATAATTATTAGTTTAGTAATTAGGACTCTTTTTTTGAAAGGTAGTTAAATTATTTTAAGGTCTATCTCAACATCTTAAATATTTTTTTTTCGTCTAAAAACGGATGTTAAGAAATCTAAAGATATAGCGACATTTTCCAGGCAACGTGATATCCGATTTTTTGAATAATTACTTGAAAACAAGTTATGGCTATTTTAAAAAAGTAAAAAATTGTTATTTTAAATGTTAAATATTAGGTTTATTAAAAAAAAAAGGATACGACATTGTCACGAAAATCTTGTCATTTTTCATTTTTGTAAAGGTATTTTTACACTCTAAATTAATCAGAGTGGGTATGTTTTAACGCTGTAAAATTGGGCGCACAAACACTCAGTAAATAGTCGGTATAACACTCTGGATACCGTTAATTTTTCAAAAAAAAGTTATGACCCCTTTTTTAGGGTCGTATTTTCTAATTTTTTTTTTTTATTTCAAAATATAAGTATATTTCTGACTTGAGTATTTAAATTTTCTACAATTGAGGACCGGTTAATTGTAAAAATAGTGACACTTAGTGTGCAAACACAGGAGGCCCGCCCGATAGGAGGACGATGATGAGGATGAAGCGGCTCTGGCGGAGGAGGGAAGTTTTTTTGGAGGTTCCCCAAGGTCGGTAGCGGCGTTGCCGTTCCGCCGCGCCGGCAGGGCGCGCGGCGGCGCGGGGGGCAGTCCGCACAGGCCGCGCCTCCCCGGCGGCGGTTTACGCTTAATCGGCCGCGCCGCCGCCGCCGGTTTACAGTACTCCGTGTTCGGCCGTCGCCCGCGCCGTTGCCGCTTGTTGTAACGAAATTTCCGTCGAACACGCACGCGGCGCGCGCACGCACGCACACGCACACGCACGCCGCATAGGCGGCGGCACGACTCGCCGCCGCGCGCACGGCCGCCAATAATAACATACACTCCGCAGCCGACGCCGTCGTCCGAAACGGTCCGGGTGGCGCTTTCGTTTCGTTTCGCCTTCTCTCCGCCGCCGCCGCCACCGCCGCCGTTGTCGTCGAGCTGCCGCTGACAATCGAGTTCGTTATTTATTTTATCGTATAGCGTGTGTATATACGTATATACACACCGGCGGCCGTTTCCCCGCCCGCCCGCCCGCCGCAGCCGCAGCCGCCGCCTCGATTGCCTTCGCCGTGCCGGTGGTTGTGCGACGTTGCGTGATCGTCTGCGGCCGATATGGTGTAGCCGTGCCGTGAACCGAACAGCAAACTTGGCAACATGAGCGCATATAAAAAACGTTACAAGACCACCACGACGGGTACGGTTTGATTATTATTATTATTATTATTAATTTTTTACCTTTATGTATTATTAATTTTTGTAGCTATTTTTCGTACTCGAATATTGACAATATTATGCAACTAATTATCACGCGTACTTGGCTGTATAATATTAGGTGTACATGCTGCTGTAAAATGACGGCGACGACCGTGTTTTGTAGATATTTTTTTGGAAATTTACACTGCGATCATCCCTTTGGTCGCCCATTTTCCCAAATCCGATCCGTAACCGTTCCGGTGACTATTTTTTTTGTCTGCACTAAAACAATATGCAAAATTTGTCGTAAAAATGTACAAACATATCGTCCTGAGTCGTTCTGAAGTTCAAGTAAAAAACGTTTCGGTCGAGAAACGGAAATCTTTAGCTAAAGGTCGTCGAATTTGGGTTGCTATAATATGTGAAACGTGTTTATTGTCCAATAATTATACATTTAATTTATACGGATAAAGTGCGATAATTGTGCATTGCCGGCGTGTCGCGTGTATTCGTGGTTCGTTTTCTTGTATTGTCCGCGTGGAAAACATACTATTGTGAATACACGAATTTCGATTACCGCAATATAACATGAGTAACGCTCTTTCAGTTATTACCTACTTATTATATCCAACAAATTGTAGATTGTTTTTTTTTTTAATGGCTGCTTTTGGAAAATATAAAAAATTCAATAAAATTGTGTGTTTGGTCGAATTTGTGGTTGGGAATTTTCTCGTTTAACAACAAACAATATTATGTAAAGTATGTATAATGTTTATCGCGTTTTAAAAGTATATACAATTGGAAACGATTTCCAGTCTTGGTTAGGTAAATAAGCAAACAATAAAAATAGAAACTATGTTATATTATACGTAGAATACAAATGAGAAAAAAAAAATGAAATTCAATGTTTTCCCCACAGGTAGTTTATTATAATATTGATAGTGAATATATATTTCATCACAAACAATACAGACTATAGGTTATGTATAAATAAAAATATGTGTTCAGTTTTAAATAGAAAAATACTTGATATTTTTTTAAAAATAAAAATAGAACCGTTTTTGTAAGATATCGCGCAATAAGTACAGTTTTAAAATCAACAATTTATCACAAAACATTATTTTGTCATTACTGTTTTTGCTCTCTCGAAGAATCTGTTAAAACCATCAGTATGCTCGTTTTTCATTGTGTATTGTACTTAATGCAAAAAATACAAAATTCCCAAGTTATAGAGCCCTATTTATCGTTGTATAAATAATTTTACATATTATTAAAAGGTCGTGGACACTGAAGAAATAAGTACAATATTTTACTCAAAAAATGTGACGTCAGTTTTTTCAAACTGTATAAAAGATTTATAATCGTACAATTTATTTGTATACAGGAATTTCATTTGAAAATGTTTACTAAACCTAGGACAAAAATAAACAACAAAATATAGTATTTTATTAGTTTTTTTTTTTTGTTGTCTATAATACACTGACAATATTAGTTTCAAGTAGAGACATCCTCAACGAAAACCGTCTACGACGTTAATAAAAACAACATAATAATGTTTTCTCAGTCTAAGAGTATAATAACATCAACATAACATGTGGTTTGCGCCTTTGTTGGTGTCGACCAACAACTGGTTTTGTTTTCTTCATATCTACCTGTCCGAGAGTCTTCTGGGAAAATATTATAACGATTATTATAAAACCGATTGGATTTTCTCAGCCCAATGTAAACCGTGCAATTTTATTTTTTTTGGCCCTGAAAATCAACACAACAACTCAAGTCTGGGCTAATAATAAAATGTACACAACAAACCGAGAAAACCGGTTTTTGATGATCGGTTAGGGACCGTTTGGAACAGATGCGAAACCACTATAGCACAATTGATACTCTCTCATTGGACAAGGGTTTAGGTTAGGTTAGCAGCTTCGTAAAATAAACCATCATACTGTCATTTATTATATTATATAAGACCCATCGTCACTTGTCCGATATATTTGATCGTCATTTTTTGGCATTTGACCCGTTTTTGTTTCAGTTAAAATAATCAAAAAGAAATTATTGCACCTCGAAAGTTTACTTATATATGTAAATGTATTCCGCAGTTTCTTTTTATTTTATTTTTAAGCTAAATGTAGTTGAAATCTCATTGAAGGCTGAAAAAAAAAACATTACATTTTTATGAAACCGGTTTTTATGAGTTTGGTAGAGAAAAAATATATTTAAAATAATAATTTGATGCTATATTTGGCTGATGTTTTTTTAAGATCAAAAGAACGTGTCTTGTTTTTTGTTTTAAAACTTATCAGATTCGGATTCAGCGAGCAAAATCTTACAAGATGAATGTTGTAGTTTGGTTTTAAATAAAGTGTATACATTTTTTTCATTGTATTGGTAGACACATGTTTTTTAACCGAGTTTTTTCAATTAACCGTTCGTTCCTGTTTAGGAAGAGCGACCTATATTCTATCCGTTCCCATCTAAACAAATAATGTATTGGCGTTTTTTTTTTTTTTATTAGAATAAATTGTATCTAAAAAAAAAACGCTATTAAGGTGTGTATATGGTGCGGTACATGCAAGTACGATATTATTATATGTAGTTATTACTTGTAAGTAAACGTTGCACGCAAACACACACTACTGTTGTGCATACAGAGTTGATAACCGGTTGTAATAATCTGTATTTGCCTTGATGACATAATTTTTCATAACGTTTAAAAAAAAAAAAAATTTAGGCTTGGGTCAGGTAAAATTTGAACAGTCTCGCCCACCTCCTCTACCATATTGATAAGTTTCAATAAGTTGTTGTGAAATCTGACTAAGGGGCTCAAAATTGTATTTAGGATTAAAAATTAGTTTAATGTATTGTATTATTTTTTTTTTTTTTTGAGATTTTTCAGCTGAAAGTAGTTTTACTCGACAAATTTGTCATCATTTTTTTTAACAAAAAGGTAGACAAAATGACTGAAATAAAAAACTCAACCAATTTTGAAACCGAGATTTGCACCCAATCGGGTCTAGCATAAAAATTCTCCTCCTAATAAACCTATTTCAGGATCACTCTAGTATGTCTAGTCTATATTTATAACTGTAACAAAAAAAAAAAACGTCAATGCAACGAAGCATTTGACCGTTTTGACCCCGATTTGGTGAATTTTTATTGAACTAGATTTTTTTAATAACGGTTAATTTATTCATTTATCTTTTTTTTTTTATTATTAAATATTACATGAATCATTCTAAATGTTTTTTTTTTTTAAGACATCGGATTTGCGGTCGCAGATAACCTTGGCCAATCGAAGGGGAGTTTTATAATAAGCATAAATTAGAATGTTTATGTAAACCTTCCTGGGTTGCAAATTGGCAAGACCGATAAAAAACGTTTCCGTCGTAAAATAACATGTTAAATTGCTGTTCAATTTGCTTTAATTGAACTTTCGACGACTTTTGCTACACCGCCGCGCTATTGTCGAACCGGTAGTTTTTGAAAATGTATTCTACTTAAAATGTAATTTTTTTCTCTATATATGTTTTTTAGGTCTCTACTACCAAAACATATTATTGAACAAAATATAAATTTTGAGTCAACAAAAAAAAAAAAACAATTTGTTTTTCTTTTATTCTCTATTGACAAATTTCCATATAAACATTTAATGAATACTCGTTATGGTTTACCTACCAGCCATGTCGGTTGGGAAAAATAAATTCGCCTTTGATTACCGAGTCTGGCATTTGTCCTTGTCGCACACAATATCGATTGACACAAGCCCCCGACGACAATGAACTCTCTCCTGTGCTCTGTCAAACAATAGAACATGATAATTATAATAATGCCAATACCAATAATGACGTCACCGCAATGGAAGTTTTGTAAATTTCCAATATTGTATCTCCCGAGTTCTCGTTTTGCCGGGTTTAAAATTGTGTAACTATACATTTTTTTTTTTTAAACTATAATATCTAAACATGTTTTTAACTAGGTACTTTCCAGTCCAGAAGTAGTTGAGAAATGTGTTCCACAATATCACTGTAGCTTTACTTACCGGACTTCTCTCTGTTTATGGAAGTGATCGTCCTAACCGACTTACTCGAGCGAAATCGATTTCCTTTTTGCTTTTCGAATAATTATATGCGTTCTACATTATTATTATTATTATTATAGCAACCGCAGTTACACTTCTGTTTTGTCGAAGCCTTAAAAATAAACATCTTTACCACGTTTACCACGTACTTGCATTGGAAAACATTTACTTAGTAATGTGTGGTTTTCAAGACTCGAGACACATAATGTATAGGTAAATGGATAGAGCAGGTAGTATAGTTTTTCAGCAGCACTGTTCCATATAAAAACCAAACCTGACCATGTAGTTTTAATAACTATACGTGGTGGGCTATCTATAAATGGTTAATCGATGAAAACATCTTAAAAAATTTCAAAAATTACAAACAATATTATTTTTATTCAAATTTAAAACTGCTCCTCCATCCAAGCTAAATAAAACTATTTGAAAATACATATTATTAACGTTTTATTAAATATTCTAGTAACAATGTCCAACTCTGCTGCTTAAGAAATCAGACCATATTTGATAATTTGGAATTAAAAAGCCTAAAATATTGATTTCTAATTTTGACATTGTACCATATTATATATATTAACATTTTCCATTTCATTGATTTATTTATTTTTTAGTTAAGGCTACACACAGGCCAAATTATATTCGATTATTTTATTAGGTATTACTATAATAAAATCTTAATTTCAAAACTATGTACAAGTTATGTTATATTAGTGTGTACGTTCGAGCACTGCCTTTTGAAGCTGTTTGTGAGAAGTTCATTCAGAGAGACCTTTGGTATAGTAAAACAACTCAATTTTCTTTTTTGAACATTTTTTCTTCTTCTGAAACTCCTATTATAATGCTCACCGAGGATATTTTTGGATGACTTCAATTTTAAAAATAAAATCCTAAATACAAGTTGTATTTGGCTTTTCTTCCTAAGC